TTAAAAAATTGAGTAGCGAAAATTTTGATATTATTTTGGCGTCATATATGAAATGCACAAGATTTCATATATTCAAGAACTTAAATATATGTTATATGCGCAAAAAATTTTATAATAAATTATAAATAAAGTAATAAATTGAATTTCTTTTATCGATAGACAATTTCTATAATTGAATGAAAGCCCCATTTATTGTTATTTTCACTTACAAGATGAATAATCCTTTAAATTATATCAAATAGTTCAAGAAAAACCATTAAAAACTGATTTATATATAATTTTATACAAATAGCCCCCTTTTGGGGAATTATTTATACACATTTCTAAACATTTTTATCGATTTTGAGAATGAATATGGCAGCGTCCCAGACCAATTTTTTTATATAAATATAAAGGAAGAGTTTAGTAATGTCTACTAAAAAAAATTTTAAAAATTGAAGGTCGTATTATTTCCAAAAAATTGTTTTTAGTCCTTGCATATTGAATTAAATACACGGAAATTTCGAAAAAATTTTTTTAATTTTTTATCTGAAAGTAGAATCTTTGTATTTAAATTTGTTAATTACAAATATGAATTTTTTAAGATATGCTTAATTGAATGAAGGCAGATAATGGTAAAAATACATAATTTTTGCCACTTTGAACCCTAATATCTTCAAAAATATGAATGCTACGAGGCTAAAATTTTGGTTACATGTCAATACCGCGAAAATTTTAGCGCGAAATATATTATCGCGAATGTCGATTACCGCGAAAAGATATTATAGCGAATGCATTACAGCGAATGCATTATCGCGAATATAATATAGCGAATGCATTATAGCGAATATAATACATCGAAAATATTATAGCGAATGTATTAGCGCGAAGGTAATACCGCAAAAATGTTATCGCGAATGTATTATAGCGAATACATTACAGCGAATGCATTATCGCGAATATATTACCGCGAATGCATTATAGCGAATGTATTATAGCGAATACATTATAGCGAATGCATTATAGCGAATGAATTATCGTGAATGCATTATAGCGAATGCATTATCATATCGCGAATGGAGTTTCATGAAAGTTACAATTTTATATTTATCGACTTTTCGACTGACTTAGTTGAGTCTGAAAATTAAGTTAAAATGGGGATTGGCTCTAAAAACATTTTTTTATTGAAATTAAGGCTAAGGCTTTTCTTTTTTTTGACTCAAAATATATAAAAAAGATTCTAAGTAATAAAATAGATTTCTCTTTTTCATCTAATCATTTTAAATATTAAACATCAAGTTTTTTCTTTTTAATTTATTGAAAACTTGTAGGAGAGAACGGGGTTATGGCGAACCCTAAAGGCAAACCTTAAGAAAATTATAAGTACTTTATCATTTTTAATAAAAAATATCTCATTTTGTTCAGCTCTATTAGTTATATGATATGTTTAAATTTCAAAAATACATCTCTAATAATTTTTTCAAAATATCATTTTTCCTGGAATTTTTTTTGGTAACCGAGTGAACCCTACCCGGGGACGAACAAGCCCTTGGTCGAGGCTATTATAAACTCTGCTTAATTTTCCATATATAAAAGTTATATATTTTTTTATTAGGATATATTTAATGATTTAAAACATAAAAGTATTATATAAAATCATTTAAAACATTCACAATCTTTGCATATAAAAAAACAATAAAATTGCAAAGCCATGTAACTAATAACTGACATTAAAAGCAGTCTTGATTGTTATGCTTGATATAATTTATTTGTATACCAAACAATTATTTATCATATAATAACATTTTTCGATTTTTTTTCTTTTAGTTGGTCTCTCCTTGGCTTTTTTTGCATGTCAAATTTTTAAAAAATAGCAAAAAAAAAGGTTCGACCTAACCCCATAAAAATAGCCCCAGTAGCACCACTTTGATTAAGATCATATTTTGAAGTATTTAAATTATCAATTTTGTTCGGGTAAATTGTTATTCTATAAAATAGGATTTTTTCTTTTATATAAGATGATTTTTGTGTGGTAAAATTGTATATTAATCTTTATTTTTGAAAAATAGTAAAAGTGTAAAAAGTTACTTTTGAAGGTACGAATGATATAAAGCATTATAAAAATTCTTCAAGCGGTTCGATAGAAATAAAAATTATAGCCGCATATTCAATATATAAGTATATAGTTTTGGTAAAAAATTATCTCTTAGAGTTTAATACTCTAGAAAATAAAGCCACTCTCACTATAACCCTGGGTTCATTATAACACCGGTCTCCCCTAATTATGGGCATCAGAAATTTTTTAGCTTTAGCTGATAACATAAAATAATATCACAAAGTTCTTTCCAAAAGTGTCTTACTTTGTGGAATAAACAAAAAATATCTACCAATATGGCAGGTAACATCAAGAAATTGGGTAGGTATCTGATAAATTCTAGTGGAATTCGTATTACGAATCTATGGTTTTGCTTGATAAAATCTTAGTTGAAAAACAAAAGGAGATTGATGAGTTATATGATAACCATGGGGTTAGCTTGGTGAACTGGATTAATATTCCACTTTCCTAGAGAATTCAGGAATTAAACTTGATTCCAATTTTTATTCTCATGTCAAAATTTTATCATTATCAGATCTTTGATAAAATACATAATTTAGAAAATTATCGTATGTTTATATTGTTAGTGGTATTTAATAATGAGATTTGTTTAATAATGCCAAAATATTTTATGTTATAGTTTATGAATTTGAAGAAATCTTTAAAAATATATATGTCCGACTACATTTTTTTATAATTTTCTAAAAGCCACTTTATAAAATTTAAAATATTTTGTTTTTATGTTATAGTTTATGAATTAAAGGAAATCTTTAAAAATATATATGTACGACTACATTTTTTTTATCTTAATTTTCTAAAAACCACTTTAAATTATATATTTTGAGAATATTAAGACAGGAGATTTCATAAAAAACGAATGACACGTTTCGGAGTTAATAAGATTTAAAACGCGACGTTTTTTAGCCGCCTTTGATCTCATTATCAACTTTCTTCCAATAGTAGGAATAGGGCTAGTAGTCGTTTTTGTCAATATCATCATAAGCTTGACAATTTATAATTGAATTTATTAAATACCATGAGATAGCCCAACAAACACTTAACTTAAGTTATACGTTAATAAATATTTTTAATATTTAATATTTTAAGATTGATTCTAGTAAAAGTTAATTTTTGCCCCAACAAGCCCCAAACCCCAGGCTTGTAGATTACATTGGTTTATTAAGTCTCCTATAGGATAATTGTTATTATCAAAATACACCATTATATAATTAAATATATTTTTTATCATTTTAAGATTTATATTTGAAACAGGAGTTGGCATTTATTATTTTTAAATTTAACAATGTTTAAATTTAAAAAAGATAATAAAATTAATAATTTTGACGATTACAAAAGATTTAATAAGATAGAGGTCTCAATCCAATGTTCCCCTTCATCTAATCTTATTTAAAAAATTTTAAAAATTATCAACATATTTTTTTAGCGCTGGAAAGGGTTAATCATATCAGTAACTAGGGGCTAGTAGAATTAGGTCGAATTAATTATATAATGCTTAAAAATATGATATAATAAGTATTCATTGGCTATTATAGCTTTAAATTCTATTTTTTTCCCTTTAACTTTCACCTTTTCTGGTGGTTGATAATCAAAAGAATTAGAAAAAAAATTAAAAAATTCATTAAAACTTTATCACATTTTGAAATTTTTTGTGAATTATTTATATACAAATGGTGTATTGATAATAACAATTATCCTATAGGAGACTTAATAAACTAATTATAATCTACAAGCCTGGGGTTTGGGGCTTGTTGGGGCAAAAATTAACTTTTACTAGAATCAATCTTAAAATATAAAATATTTTTTAATAGGGTCTTTTGTAAAAAACGACTTAATCAAATCGTTAAAAAAATTGAGTATACCAAATTCCACATATTTTTTAATAAAATACGAATTTCATAAATAACAAGTGACGTGTTTTAGAGGTAAATAATTTTAAAACGCTACTTTAAATCAATATAGACAATTAAGCTAGTTCTCTGGTTTTTTGGAACTTAATAAATGGGTTAAATATAATTTTGTCAAATATAAATCACTATTGCATTGTGATAATGTTAGTTGTAATGCATTCGCGATATTGCATTCGCGATAATGCATTCGCTGTAATGTATTCGCTCTAATACATTCGCTATGATACATTCGCGATAATACATTCGCTGTAATGTTTTCGCGGTAATGCATTCGCTATAATGCATTCGCGCTAATATATTCGCTATAATACATTCGCTATGATGCATTCGCGATAATACATTCGCTGTAATACATTCGCTATAATATTTTCGCGGTAATGCATTCGCTATAATGCATTCGCGCTAATATATTCGCTATAATATCTTTTCGCGGTAATCGACATTCGTGATAATACATTTCGCGGTAAAAGTTTAGCGGTATTGACGTGATACGTAAAATTTTGGCTATTTTTTAACTACAACCTTTCTTTGATTAACAAATTTTAAAAAAATCGAAGGGAGTAGGCCGAAAATCTCATTTTTTTGCTCATTTGACATGAAATGACCCTAAAGTTTGTTGTTTAAAAACTATGTAAATGAATAGTATAGAAAAGTATATGTAATCGGGAATATTTTATTGTAAAATAATTATTATTATGAATTTGCGAACATAATTTTTAATTTTTCTTATATTATTTTGTTTTTTTTAATTATGTTTTATTTTTAATTTATTTAATTACAATTTATATTAATTAATAAAGTATTAGTAGTTAATTTATTTATACTAATTATTTGTATTCTCTTTAATTTTCAACTACAACATTTGTTACCGAAACATTATGTTCTAAGGGCATATTCAGTATAATTAACTTTTCATTATTTGACATTTTGTTTAATAATAATATTATAATATAATTGTCTATATTTTTTCTATCTTAAAAAAACAATATAATATTAAGAGTGAACAAGTTCCTATTGGGAATATTCCCAGATGGATGTCTGTTTTAGTCAAGGGTGAGGTATGTAGGACAGCTCAGACAGGGGATCACATACATTTAACAGGGGTTTATTTACCTTCTGCCCTCTCCACTTCAGCAAATTATTTTGCAGCTCATAACAATAGAACATCTATCCTTTCGTCAGACACATATATTGAGGCTCATGTAAACATATAAAATATCAAATTTTATCCACTCTAATAACATGGTCACCATTATTACTAGAGATTAATGTATCTATATTTGTATTTGATTAATTTATCCAAAAAATAGAGATTTGATAAAATTTTGAGATTCTATTTTTATAAATATCTAAATCAATATAATGACCATACTTTTATTTTATAGTTTTATTAAATCAGAAATGGGTAATTCCATGACAAATCGACCAATGATTCACCCGACCATCACAAAAATGAATGAAACTTTGCATGTTAGTTATTTATGTTGTAAATGTTAAGAAAATCAAAATTTTAGAGTGCTAGCTCAACCAGATCCAAAGATATACGCCTTCAAAGTCGAAAATCGCGAAGTGCGTGATTTCTTTAAATCGTGTTTTTTAAAAAAATATATAAGATAGAGTTACAAATTATATATCATTTAAAAGCCCTTAAAATCTTACGTTGGAAAATATAAAAACAGTTAAAAAATTTCAAGTGTTTTCTTATTTCCGGTAAAAATAAAAAAATTAACATTGTTATGAAGGGATATTTTTGGGTGTTAATATTCACTAAAAATGTTTATTACCTTTATATTAAACGATTTAATAAAAAATCTCGATAGCCATTTTTGTTTTTTTAATTTTATTTAATTTTTTATTATTTTTATAAATAAAAATGCAATATAGATAGCGTTATATTAAAAAAAATTTATAATATAATTTTAAATAAAAATATGAATAGTATTGTGATTAAAATTAAAAAATCAATTGAGTATAACCAAGAATGATGTCTTGGGGCGATATGTAAGCAGGCAGCCCATACAGATATTATTTTATTGACGCTATATTCAGCCGAAAATCTCGTTTTTTTGGTCGATTTGACGTGGAATCACCCAAATATATTATGCAATATTACAAAAAAAATCTCTATTTAAAACAATATTTTAACATTTTAAAAAAAATTAAATCAAAGCATATAATTAAGATGAACAATAATTATTATTGTGAGGATGAAGATAACGAATCAAATCGGGAATCCTTTATGCAAGAGATAGAAATTATCAAAAATAAGTTAGTTTGATTAATTTTCATTTTTTCAATAAAAACCAATAATTTATATTCACTATTATTTTATTTTTAGATACGAATCTGATTTTTATGACAAATTGGCTCTCAGCATAGCTCCAGAGATATACGGGTTTTTGGACATCAAAAAGGCTCTCCTTTTACTTTTAGTAGGCGGCGTTGAAAAATTTACAGAGGGAATGAAAATTAGAGGTTTATAAATTATCATAAATATAAATTGAAATTCAAAAAAATAAGATAAATTAATGATTTGAGAAAATATATAAAAATAAAAATAATTATTTATAAAATTTTACTTCTACCTTGTGTTAAGTCAGGGTTTGAAAAATTCGGAAAATATTTATCAATGTATTAAACAATGTGCTTTTAAAGCTGGTGAGGGAAATAAACATATCCTTTATTTTATACAATCTTTTAACTTGAATTTATTTGAAAACCCTTTTTAGGATCTATCAACATTTGTTTAATGGGCGATCCAGGTGTAGCTAAAAGTCAATTGCTCTCTTATATAGATAGATTAGCACCTAGAAGTATTTATATATTTTTTTTGTTGATATTAAATTATACTTGTGTTCTGATCATTTTTGTATTGCTCAAATAAATGAGTTATTTATTTTTTACATTATTAAGATTAGTTAAATATTTGCAAAACTAACTATGTTTTGCGAATCAAGTAAAATGACTCGATTTGTTTAATCAAATTAATTATGTTAATTTATCAAAGAGATTATTATTTATATATGCCTATCAAAAAATTATTTGTTATTTCTATTCAATTTAAAATATATAAATAACAAAAAAAATTTTTTAATTTGAATACAAATAATATTTTTTTAAATCAATTATACATTACGATTATATTTTAACTATACTTAATAAAGCATAAAGTATAACCAAAAAATAAGGGTTTTTTAAACAAGCAAATTATTTGTTATTTTTCATAACATTTTTTATTGATAAATTTTATTTTATTCTCACATTTTTAATAAAAAACATTAAAATACTTTTCTTATAATTTTCATCATATTATTAAAACAAATCGAAAATAAAATAAATAAATAACGATTATAAATTAGTAGATAAGAACAAAAATAAATCGCCTATAAGCAAAAACTTTAAAATTATTACTGACAAATATGACAACAATGTAAATTGTATACACTCCAAATACCAAATCCATATTTAAATATAATGCAGTGACGCATTATTATTTCTGCTTCATATGCTTGCTTGCTAACCGTACATTCTTTCAACTCTGTAACCAACAGGAATGAGCCTATATAGATGATAGTGATCTCATCTATGGATAGCATGTGTTAACACATGCATAAATGCATTTACAGCAAAAAGACAATATCTTCATTTAAAACCGACACTAACAAAGCGTCAAAATGCTCTTTAATTTCAAACTATAATTAATACATTTAAAAAATTTTTAAATATTTCTAGTACTACTAACGAAATCTTATTTCTATATTTAATATCTATGTTTTTTTAAATATTCATTGAACTTTTTTCTATTTAAAAAGGTCAATATACCACCGGGAGAGGCTCTTCAGGAGTAGGCTTAACAGCAGCTATTCTTAAGGATCCTGTCACGGGCGAAATAACGTTGGAAGGTGGCTCTTTAGTTCTAGCAGATAGAGGGGTTTGTTGTATCGATGAATTTGATAAAATGGCTGAAACGGATAGGATAGCCATCCATGAGGTCATGGAGCAACAGACTATATCTATCGCTAAAGTTATTTGCAAATTCATATAGTTAATGAAAATGAATTAGCAAGGTATGGATGTAAGGAAATTTAAGAAACTAAATTGAAAACTAGAGCTTGGTTGTATTTTAACTAATGAAGGTCTAGCCCAGGTCTATTTTCAAAATCAGTTTTCATCTGGGACCTATCTAGTGTTGTTAAAAAGCCCGGGGTCGATTAAAATTTTAGTCAAATAATATTATGTAAAACTGGAGAGTTTGCTCCTAGATAACAGAAAGGTTTTAACCTCTATTTGCTAAATCTTGAGGTTTGCAATAGTATTTTGGCTAAAATGTTAATCGGGCCTTTTTTAAAAATAAAACTTTTTAACAACACTAGTCCCATCTTTGAATCTGTCTATATTTATTAAATATAAATGTTAAATATCTTGGAAAATATTATTTTTTGTCAAAATAAAATTAAAATGGCTAAAATATTTTCTAATAATCATAACCTCTTCTTAACTTTTTGATTCCTGATCCTTTACGGTCGTTTACTCTGCTATTTAATATACTTATTAACCAAAACATAACCTTTATAAATAGACCACATAGTGATGGTAAGGCCTGGGTACCAATACTATATTAAATAAAAAAAGTAATTGGGAACTTTTTTTAAAAACCAATTATAAAGTCAAGCAAAAAATAAAATACTAAATAATACGACCAATGTGAAAATTCATAAATTTCATTTTCCTATTTTTATTAAAATTGTAGTTAATTCTTTGATTTTTTAAAAATTAAATTCTTAAAATTTAGTAAAAACAAAAAAAATAAATTTAAGACAATACATTCAATAGTTCCCGATTTTTTGTGTCCAGCTATAAATGGAGATTTTGCAAGACCTAGTCTACCTGGATAATTTCAGTCCGATCCTTGACCTTCATTATTTTATCTTATCCTATATATATATTTTAGACAGTGCTGAATATATATCACATAAATATTCTTCTTAAAAAACATTTATGTTCAAGCACTTAATTATAATCAGGGTCGGACAAACTACTCTGGAAATATTCAATAACATAATACTTTTATAAAAAAATTTAAAATTGTTTACAAAATACAATGTGTTATAGCAGCTATATAAAATATATTTAGCTAAAAAAATTAAATGTTTAAAATATGATCTAGGTGTAATAGATTTTATTAGGATAATTTCTTTGGTTCAATATTATCATATAAAGAACCAAAAATTAAATATATTTACATTTAGATGGCCAATTATTCAAATATTTTTGTATGTAAACACTGGCCGTGAGTTGTATATACCAACCCCTCTAATGAAAATAATCTATGCTGTTATAGAATAAGATAATATTGTATTATATTTTAGAAATATTTACTTTATCGAATATATAAAGTATTTGAATTTCAAATGATGACTCGTAAATATTTAATTACTTGAAACTTAATATCATTTGTTTAGTGACATCATAATAAAAATAATTTAATTATTATATATTTTTACAACAAAATTGTTCATAAAATTTGATGTGGAACTAAAAGTTTCATTGATTATATTTTTAGGGGGTTGCATAAGATACATTCCACCTTAACTTTTGAGGCTTATGTCATATTTCCTTAAAAAATGTATATGTTAAATAAAATCTTATAAATTTATATTTTTTCCTTCTCATGATGATTTTCTCAAGGGTTATTTTTCCTCCAACCCTATATTTTCTAAAAAAAATTTAATCTCTATCCTAACCCAAAATTTTATTTATTTTCAGGCACAAACCCTTTGTCCTTATCACAGTTGTCATTTTATTTTGATAAAATAAAAGAACGCATTATTTTATATTTTTCAAGTGCTTGATTTTGGAATTTTTTTTAGGTCCATGCCCTGCCCAAAATGTTTTTAATTTTTAGGTCCAAGCATGGTCTGAGCCTGGATTTGGTCGATCTCTACTTCCTCCATTGTATATGTAATGTTATATTCTTCATTTTTATATAATTCTTCAAGATTATATATCTAACGTCCATGTTAATTTATAGAATAAAATAGGCCATTGAAAAAACATGAAGTTTTATAGAAAAAGGTATGAGTAAAATGTGTTTCGTTACTATAGCTCAAAGCTACATCTCACAATAGCTTAAGGCAGTAGTTTTTGCAAAATTCTACTCCCCAACACTCTTATCTTTTCGAAAAAACTATTTTCATCATTTGCTATTTGTGAATACACGAATAAAATTGTTGGTATTAATAATAATATAATATTTGTATTATCACTATTTCCTGTTTATGTACCCCATTTTAATCCTAACTCACTATTTTTTTAGGCTGGTATAATGACCACTCTGAATGCCAGAACATCTATTTTAGCAGCCGCTAATCCGATATATGGAAGGTTATATAATTTTGATTAGCAAATTATTTTTCAATTTCTAAAATGTCGGAAGAATTCTTAAAATCATGTTAATTTGTTTTTTTATTTTTTTCTTCGAAATTCTAATGAAAGGTATAATCCGCTCAAATCGATTCAGCACAACATCCAGTTACCAGCGGCTCTTTTGTCTCGTTTTGATATATTGTGGCTTATCAGAGATATGGCCGATAACGATAATGATTTAAAGTAACTGATAGAAATTAATAAATAGGAAAGGAAAAATGGTGGGGTTATCTGATTTAAAAAGGAAGAGGCAGTGTGAAGAAAATATATTTGCAGTGCATAATTTTAATTCTTATTCTTAGATGAAATAATAAATTTAAATATTTATAAATTATATAGACTAGCTCAACACATTACCCATGTGCACCGGTATGGTGCAGAGCCAGAGCTTGTGTTTAAGCCTTTGACTATGGATTTCATCAGGTTGTTAAAAATAACACTTTACATATAATTTTATACCTTTAAACAAAATGGGTTTGATATTATTAAGTGATAAGAAAAATGTTATTTTTATTTATTTTCATGATTTATTTTAAAAATTAATTATTCAATTGGGAAGCTATTGCAAAATGATAATATTAATTCATTAACTGTAACGATGCTGTTTAACTATTATATTTCCAGACGTTATATAATTCTATGTCAAACCAAAAACCCTACCATACCAGCTTCATTGTCAGAATTTATTACGGCAGCTTATGTGGATTTGAGAAGGCATGCTAGAAACAATAGTGATACGAGCACCTTCACATCTGCCAGAACACTTTTGGCTATACTTAGGATGGCCACAGCTCTGGTATTTAAAAAGAAGGGCCACATATAAAATAGAGAGAAAAAATATAAGATAAAACATATACATTTTATATAAAGAAAATATGGAGGGGGGGGCATTGTTATAAACAGGCTAGGAAGTCAAAAGAAAACATTAACAAGATTGAGGAAAAATTTAAAAAATAACAAGTAACATTTGGATTCATAGAATTGCTATATTATAATAAGGAAATTTAAAATAAACATAACAGAACGTTGGCTGGGAAAAAATTTGAATAAAATAAAAAATAATTATCAAACCTTGTTTCATTAGAAAACATTACATTTTTAGACGATTATTTTTTGGAAGGAATAATATAATTTATTTTTTTACATGAAATAAATTTATTTACACAAATTTAAACTATATATACGTTAGCTTTTCCTTTGATTGCTATTTATCATTTTACAAAATTTACAAACAAAAAAAATACCAATCATATAGGCAAGACTGAGGCTGGGTGATCAGGTTATGAAGGAAGATGTTATAGAAGCTTTACGGCTTATTGAAAAATCGAAAGCTTCCTTAAACACTAATCAGATACAAAGCAGGTACTTTAATTCACTTGAAAGATACAATATATTGAAAATTAAAATGCCGACAAAACTTGGCGGTTGGCGTAGGTTTTAAAAATCATTGGTGGCTAGTGACGTGTTTTAGCCACTGTCAATCTGCACACCAACATAAATTTTTTATAATATATATTTCTTAAAATTGTTAATCGAAAGAATATATTATGTTTAGTTTTAGACGAATAAATGAAAGGAAAATAGTAATTTAGAATTGTAAATGAATTATTTATTGGTCTATTCTTTAATGAGTGGTATACCAATTATTTATGATTTATTACTCTATTGTTTAAGTTTTTTAAGATAATGTTCTAGTTTCATTTTTTCAAGATATTTTTTATTAGAGTTGTAACCCTAAATTGTAAGTGATCGAATATTTGAGAGTAATTATTTTAGGTTTTATGTTTTGACATATTCCAATCTCGTAATATAGGAATGGTAAAATACAAGCAACAATTTTGACACAGAGGAAAAAGGATTATGGTAGTATTAAGGAACAATTAAATTTAGAGGATATCCACTTAAGACAACTAATATGGGAGGGGGGGGGGGGTCACATAAAGGAAACTTAATGTTAATAACAGGTGCCATCGAAGAACAATCAGGGGTAATCGGAAAAAGGCACACTTACTTAGAGGCCTGCGGGAGAATAAGAAGTATGATAGAAACGAGCCCATACCAAATTAGATAAAGTTTTGATTTATGAACAGATAAGTGGTTATTATTAATTTATATTAACTTATAATATCATGTATAGGAAGTATGAAGTAAATAAAGTATATATCTTGTATAAGGAATAAAAAGAAGCCTTAGGGGTGATTGGAAAGGTTTTATTGATTTATATACCTATGTTTTCATTTTAGTAGTTTTTTCATGGAATATTTGTTATTGCTCAACATTATGAACTGCTTTATGTTTAGGCTTAGACTCAAGACTTCTCCTATTGATTTATCTAGCTAATATGATTTGTATTTGTAGTATATTTTTTCTTTGTGGGGCTGTAGCCATGTCAGGGCTTCATGTAGTATATTTTGTTTATCATATCGTATCAAGTGTCCATAGAGTTGTTCCCTTCTTTTTTGAGGGTTTACTAGACCGGGGCATGAATAGAAATCTTCCAGCCTGTATTTTTTCGTCTGGATTTTGTTAATGTCCTAAATATCGCTGCCATAAAGAGGGACTGGGACGATCGTAGAATTGAATATTCGCAGCTTGGTCTTGTTTGAGATCTCTCTGGCGGTTCATAGCTTATGTTATTTGCTGAATGCGATTTTGGTGTTCCTAAGTCTAGCCTCAATTTCTGTTTTCTACCAAAATTCCAAGGTATTTAAAATTTGAATTAGTGTAAAGTTATCTATTGGTGCATTGGAGGTTGGCATAATCACGGTTTTATTGAAACATTTATCTAAACCGGCGCGTTTACAGTGAAAACCTAACTTGTTAATTAGGCAATTGTTCCACCCTTAGATTTGGTGATCAAGACCAGGTCATTTGCATAGGAAATGATTTATCGAGAAGATTCGTGGTACTTGTGGTATCCTATTTGGTGATATCGATATTGAAGAGTATGGGGGGGGGGGGGCGCAAAGCCTTGCTTAACTCCATTTTTGACTCTGAAGAAAGGTGATTGTAACTGTCCTAACTGAAGCCTCGCGTAGGAGTTATTGTTGTGATACAAAGCAATAGCAACTCGCCCCTGAGAATCATTTCCTACACAGATGACCTGGTCTTAATCACCAAATCTAAGGGCGGAACAATTGACTTACTAACAAATTCAGATTATCACTGTAAACGCGCTGGTTTAGACAAGAAAATCGTGATTACCTGAACCGTTATTTTTATCATAACTTGAACTGATATTCGTTACAGTTTTTGTATTGCAAATTTTAGCACTTCATAATTATCTTTCAAAAAATTTTTTAAACATTTTATAGACACCATTCAATCAAGAGCCAAATATTCGATACAATTGTAAGTATGTTACCTTCCAGAAGTGACCACGATGTTGAAAGCACAAGTAGTGCAGATAAAATGGTGAGATATCAACGTATATTAGATGAATGCTTGTCAAAAGGATTCACACAAGATCAGATCGAGGAGGTCTTGGAAGATTATACGGAAATGAATGTTTGGCAAATTGATGAAAATAAAACTCAATTAATATTTGTCAATTAAATTTAATATAATTATTGTAATAATATTACCATCTATTTTAGTGATATAAATAATTAATATTCATAAAGATTTTCTATTAGAGTTTATCTAATTATAACTTTTTTTTATAAACATGTATATAATTTTTTTTTGTAAACATCTATAATAAAGACTAAGTATGTAAATAAATCATCTATTAATGGGTTGAAATGCTAAAAAAAGAAAATATACTTAGTTCAAACATAAAATTTTGACCCACCCAAAACACTAATTTTGATTTTATATCAGGTTATAAGAAATTTAAATCATTTTAGCTTATTTTGTGAAAGATTTTAAATTAAAAAATTTCCTATTTTTTCATAAAGATTTATTTGAACTTAATCAGATATTAAAACAATAAATGATTTATATCAACACAGTAGCATAAACATATAGTTTGGGATACCCCTCTGATCCTAAACCATAGAAAATATAATAGGGGTGAATTTGTTTTTTAATATTTAAATCGATACCCCCTCCATAGACACTTCAAATTTTTAAAATAACTTAAAAAATTAGAAAAAATAATATTTATCTTTAAAATATTTTAGGCACTTTTTTAATAAAATGTTCATATTTTAAATTAAACTTGTTACGCTTTATTTCATCGTCAAAATCAAAAGTATGAAATAAAACAAATGGGTTTAAATTTCAGGTTAACGCCCACAATAACAAAACTTTTCAAAATAAATCAGTAAAAAAAATTCAGGAGTAAAATTTGTCCACCGTATTTACAAAAACAATATTTTTGATTTTTCATGTTGATATCTATATTTAAGAGTAATTTGTTTTTAAATTTTTAATCTATTACCAACCCTCCCCCCCCTCTGATTATCCCCGTCTTGGTTAGAATAAATAATTATTCTAATTATTGCTAAAACAAAACTTTACAAGAAAAAATCGCAACTGGTTTAATCTGGTTTTGTTATCGTAAAAGTATTTTTGACAGATAAAAACTTAAATATAACCCTCCTCCCCCTTTAATATGCTTTCTCCGGGGTTTTGATTCGCTAGGGGAGTTCTAGAGAAAACTACATATAAAAAAAACCTAGAGTGATTCGAAATAATACATGGTACATACAAAAAGCATTAGCACATACTAAATATATATTTCAAAAAAAGTTAGAGTTGGCCTATCCACTACTGCTCTTAGAAAGTTTTTCTCCCTGGGTCGACTGCAATGAGTATTTCCCCTTTTTGGGGGACTTCAGGTGATGAGATTGATACATCGGTAGTAAGGGAAACGTGGTCTAGGTAAATGGATTCGAAGGTATATGTAACTTTACTTTGTGCTCGCGCCACTCGTCATTCTAGAATCTATGGCAGAGAAGGTGATGGGTGGGAATAGTGTTGCGTAATCGGCTAAAAACTACGCCTAAGCCTAATAAGGCTAAGCCTAAAAATCGGCTAAAACTAAAAATCGGCTAAATTAGGTTAAACCTAAAAATCGGCTAAGCCTATATAAATCTGCTAAAAATTAGTCAAAATTCTGCATCGATAGTATTAATTATTATTTATTTATTTTAGAAAAATAATTTATTTTATTTATATTTAATGTAAATATTTTATTATTATCAACAAATAAACATGATATGATTTAATATTTTTTATTTATATTATTATATTTTCAAATGAAAATAAATTTATTTATTTGATGTTATTTTAATAAAAAAAATAATATGCTGCGTAATATTCTTTTTAATATAATTTATTAGTGATTTTCACAATCTTCTTTATAAATACATCTTTTATTGAGGAATTATATTGTAAATTTTATTAGATAAATAAACAATCTTTTAGGTGAAATCTTTTATAATTTTTTTATCATTTTTTTTAAATTATCTTTTTTATTAAATGAAGTGGATTTTATGAAACTTTTTTGATGATTTTATATGATCTTTTTAAGGATAATATTTTAATGTGACAATTGTCATAATCGTTATTTTATAAGTTTTTTGAATTTTTTTGAAGAAAATAGGTTAAAATAAGTATTAATAACATGTGTAAATTTAAATATAGTGAAGTGACAATTGTCATAATCGTTATTTTTAAAGTTTTTTAAATTTTTTTGACGACAGTATGTTAAAATAAGTATTAATAACATGTTTAAATAAAAATTTAGTGAAGATGTACCATAGAAAATTGACAATTGTCATAATCGTTATTTTTAAAGTTTTTTGAATTTTTTTGAAGAAAATATGTTAAAATAAGTATTAAAAACATGTTTAAATAAAAATTTAGTGAAGATGTACCATAGAAAAGTGACAATTGTCATAATAGTTATTTTATACGTTTTTTGAATTTTTTTGAAGAAAATAGGTTAAAATAAGTATTAATAAATAACATGTGTAAATATATATTTAGTGAAGATGTACCAATGAAACGTGACATTTGTCATAATCGTTATTTTATAAGTTTTTTGAATTTATTTGAAGAAAATAAGTATTAATAACATGTGTAAATATAAATTTAGTGAAGATGTACCAATAAAAAGTGACATTTGTCATAATTGTTATTTTTAAAGTTTTTTGAATTTTTTTGAAGAAAATATGTTAAAATAAGTAGTAAAAACATGTTTAAATAAAAACTTAGTGAAGATGTACCATAGAAAAGTGACAATTATCATAATCGTTATTTTATAAGTTTTTGGAATTTTTTTGAAGAAAATATGTTAAAATAGTATTAAAAACATGTTTAAATAAAAATTTAGTGAAGATGTACCATAGAAAAGTGACAATTGTCATAATCGTTATTTTATAAGTTTTTTGAATTTTTTTGAAGAAAATATGTTAAAATAAGTATTGATAACATGTTTAAATAAAATTTAGTGAAGATATACCATAGAAAATTGACATTGTCATAATGGTTATTTTTAAAGTTTTTTGAATTTTTTTGACGAAAATATGTTAAAATAAGTATTAATAACATGTGTAAATATAAATTTAGTGAAGATGTACCAATGAAAAGTGACAATTGTCATAATCGTTATTTTTAAAGTTTTTTGAATTTTTTTGAAGAAAATATGTTAAAATAAGTATTAAAAACATGTTTAAATAAAAATTTAGTGAAGATGTACTCTAGATAAGCGACAATTGTCATAATCATTATTTTTCAAGTTTTTTGATTTTTGTTGACGAAAATATGTTAAAATGAGTAATAATAACATGTTTAAATAAAAATTTAGTGAAGATGTACTATAGAAAAGTGACAATTGTCATAATCGTTATTTTTAAAATTTCTTTGATGTAAATGGGTAAAAATATAGATTGTAAAATTAAAATTTCCTGAGTATATGCCATAGAAAAACATATGGTAATAATAGATTCTTCCCCAAAAACAGGAGCAAATTGGCATTTTATTACATTTGTTCATCGGGTCAGAAATTAATATGCAAAATTTATATCATAATATCTAATCCTAAGTTAGAAATTATTATTTTTTTACCAATTTTCACCAGACAATCTTGTTTAAAATTCGGGTAAACTTTTTTTTCTATTTTAAAATCAATATCGATGCAAGTTAACTATTTTCGTCAAAAAAAATCAAAAAACTTTAAAAATAACGATTATGACAATTGTCGCTTATCTAGAGTACATCTTCACTAAATTTTTATTTAAACATGTTATCAATACTTATTTTAAAATATCTTTGTCAATAAAATTCAAAAAACTTTAAAAATAACGATTATGACAATTGTCACTTTTCATTGGTACATCTTCACTAAATTTATATTTACACATGTTATTAATACTTATTTTAACATATTTTCGTCAAAAAAATTCAAAAAATTAAAAATAACGATTATGACAATTGTCACTTTTCTATGGCACATCTTCACTATATTTTAATTTAAACATGTTTTTAATATTTATTTTAACATATTTTCTTCAAAAAAATTCAAAAAACTTTAAAAATAACAATTATGACAAATGTCACTTTTCATTGGTACTTCTTCACTAAATTTATATTTACACATGTTATTAATACTTATTTTAACATATTTTCTTCAAAAAATTCAAAAAACTTTAAAATTAACGATTATGACAAATGTCATTTTTCATTGGTACATCTTCACTAAATTTATATTTACACATGTTATTAATACTTATTTTAACATATTTTCGTCAAAAAAATTCAAAAAACTTTAAAAATAGCGATTATGATAATTGTCAGTTTTCTATGGTACATCTTCACTAAATTTATATTTACACATGTTATTAATACTTATTTTAACATATTTTCGTCAAAAAAATTTAAAAAACTTTAAAAATAACGATTATGACAATTGTCACTTTTCTATGGTACATCTTCACTAAATTTATATTTACACATGTTATTAATACTTATTTTAACATATTTTCGTCAAAAAACTTTAAAAATAGCGATTATGACAATTGTCACTTTTCATTGGTACATCTTCACTAAATTTATATTTACACATGTTATTAATACTTATTTTAACATATTTTCGTCAAAAAAATTCAAAAAACTTTAAAAATAACGATTATGACAATTGTCACTTTTCTATGATACATCTTCACTAAATTTATATTTACACATGTTATTAATACTTATTTTAACAAATTTTCGTCAAAAAAATTCAAAAAACTTTAAAATTAACCATTATGACAATTGTCACTTTTCATTGGTACATCTTCACTAAATTTATATTTACACATGTTATTAATTCTTATTTTAACATATTTTCGTCAAAAAAATTCGAAAAACTTTAAAAATAACGATTATGACAATTGTCACTTTTCATTGGTACATCTTCACTAAATTTGTATTTACACATGTTATTAATACTTATTTTAACATACTTCCTTCAAAAAAATTCAAAAAACTTATAAAAGAACGATTATGACAATTGTCACATTAAAATATTATCCTTAAAAAGATCATATAAAATAACATCAAAAAAGTTTCATAAAATCCACCTTATTTAATAATAAATAGATAATTTTAAAAAAATGATAAAAGATTTCACCTAAAAGATTGTTTATTTATCTAATAAAATTTACAATACAATTCCTCAATAAAAGATGTATTTACAAA